AGAACCTGATAGGAATTGTTCGCGTTCATACGGACGGGTGCTGACTGGTTCCTGGCGAGGAAATTGATCAGCAAGTTGCCATCAGTTGTAGGCTAAAACTAAGCCAGTATTTGCTTTTATGAGTTTACAAATACACGTTAAACCTTGTATTAATGAATTTGGGAATGAAAAAGTCGACTCAATATTGAGGAGTCTTGTCAGAAGTAAAGAGAGAGAATCATAATTGACAACCCTGTCCCTACGAGCCTACACACTTGTCACCAACAATGCAGTGATTTTCAGCCATCTGTAATACTAGTTATTCTTGTTTTGGAAAAGTCTTGGGTGATTATGAGAATTACTGACTTTTTAGCTTGGCAACAGTTCTCGCCGCAACCCTAGAGTAGACAGAAGTGTCCACACTAGCCGGAGACAATTGCTTATGGAAAAACAATAAAAAATAAAATAAAAACGTTCTGCACCTACAGTTAGTAACTCCCATATTCACATAGGAAAAGTCATGGAAAAAAGCAATTCTCGTATTCACGTACGACTTTTTCTTTTCCAAATACAGGTTATTGGCCATCAACTGAACCAAAAATGAGTTCTGGACCAAAATTTACCATTTTCACAATGAATGGGAGAAAGTATTTTTTTACCATGAATAATTTGAAGTGTGTGTGTCTGATCTGCCATGCATCTCCAGCTTTGCCAAGAAAGGAAATCTTGAAATGCATATAAAAGTTTTTACAAGAAGTGTGATAATGATTTCCCACCCAAAAGTGAGCTACGAAAGAGGAAAGTTAATGAACTGAAATCACAACTTACTGCACAACAAACTCTTTTTACCGGCGCAAGCTCAAAATCAAGGGTAGCAAACCACTGCATCATTCAGGGTGAGTCGAGTACTTACAAAGCATAAAAAAACATTTCAAGATAGAGAAATATTCAAAGAGGCTTTTTAGAAGCAGCAGATTTGTTGTTTGAAAATTTCAAAAATAAGTCTGAAATACTGTTTTCTTTTAAGGATGTTCAGTTATCAAGAAACACTGTCATGAGGCGCTGTGAATTTATGGCTGGGAATTTGGGTGAATAACTGATTAAAGACATACATGGGTGTGTGTTCTTTTCATTACAATTTGATAGAGTCTACTGATGTGGTCGATACATCTCAATTATGCATTTTCATTAGAATGGTGTTTAAAGACATGAGTACCAAAGAGGAACTGTTGAAAATTCTGTTATTAAAAGGAAAAACTCGGGTTGAAGACATATTTCAGACTTTCAGTGATTTTGTTAATATTACACAGGTGCCAACTTGTATCTATGACAACTGATGGAGCACCTGCAATGGCTGGCCGAATCAGTGGGTTCATTGCCCTGTGCAGGAGTGATGATAGGTTTCCTAACTTCTGATCACAACGAAGTATGGCTGTTAGATTTAGCTTATTTAGTTGATATGACTGCTATGCTGAATATACTAAACTTAGATCTGCAAGGGAAAGATAAAGCTATAGTTGACATGATGAGTGCTGTGACTGCTTTCAAGCAGAAACTAAAACGAGTGTCTTCGCAGCTGCAGCAACATCAACTACGAAACTTCAGAAATATGATGTCTGAACTAGAAAACCAAGGAAAAGACTGTGACCAGTTTGACAGTGCTCACTATACTAAACAGATACAAAACCTTGCCTCATAGTTTGACAGGCGGTTTTAAGATATAGCAGAAATACAACCTGTTGCAACATATACTGTACGTGTTTTCCATTTGGTAAAGACTCAATTGGTGAAGATATTGCATCTAGAATGGCATCAGTATTTAACATGGACATATCTGAAGTCGAAAATGAACTTCTGAAACTTTAAAATAATATTCAGATCAAATCCATGGCAACAGGAGGAAGTTTCTGGAACCTTTTCAGTGAATAAAATATCCCAATGTCAGAAAATGTGCCATGGGAGGGGGAGTGTTTTGGGTGAATATTAGGCTGGTAGATCGTGTCAGGGTAACTGTGGAAAAAGTAGATCACATCACACAAAAGGTTAGCCACCCCTGTTGTATATATTATACTTAAAATTACGAATGAATACATACGTGTTACCATAAGATATATATACCCGGCACCTGCTTATAGCAGGAACATTCAAGATCCATTGAGAGTTATGTTGAAAGCTTCAACTGTATTTACTTTTAGTGAAATTGTCAAATAAGTCAAGTGTTGGGGTGAACAATAGAGGTAAGAATGCTTTTTCTTCCCTATGAGAGACTCTTGGCCAAACTAAGGTAAGTACATGTAATGGACTCATATTTGGTTTCCACATTACATGTACATTCTTCTACATATTGTACTATCTTTTAATCCACAAGTTAAAATGATGTTGGGGGAAAATCGATATACCTGTACGTACCGTACATGTTTTTATGTGCAATGGGGGGTTGATCGGCGAATCACTCTACCACAGTTATCAGGTTAAGTGTACAGTACTGTACTGTACAGTACTTGAAGTTTATCATTTCAGTGCTGGAATTACAATAAATGACTTTGAATTAACTTAGGAATTGGCAAGTACGCCATGGTCCTTTCTAGCTTTGGTACTTCACAAACTGACAAGAACTTTCACTGAACTTTATCTTTTAGTGATTTATTCTGGCTAAATGAGACTTAGTTCATTGAGGGTTTGTCAATTTGCTGAAGCATTGTACAATATTAAAATGGATGAATAAATTGATTCTGTAAAATGCATAAAAACAGCATCTGAATCTGTAAACGATAAACAAATGTATAAAGCAGGTGAATTATTTCAAGGGTCATAAATTGGCATGAATTATTAAAACTTCAAGTTTTTGAATTGTTGCACTCTACTTCAGTAGTATGATTATGAACAGCAATTAAATTTTGTATATAAATTATTAAGAGACTTCATTATTAGGCTAAAGTTGGAAATCAAAATGATTAAATATTTTATCAGTTTGATACTGTTTGTCTGGTAAATAAATAGAAATGACACATAAACCTCTCAGGTGATTATTGGTTGAATACAGGCAAAATTATTTTAAAGATTATGAATTAAAACTAATAATTTGAATAAAGTACTGTACTGTACTCTGCTACGTGTTCATTACCAGCAGCATCAGGTAATGAACATGTTGCAGAGTACTGTACTGGCATCCCTCACTATTTGAATGGGTGAGGTTCCTATAAAACCATTCATATATTGAATATTCAGATAGTGAATACAGTAACATTATAAATAGGAAATATAGGATTCCTTCCCCAATGACAAGAATCCCCAATACAGGTATTACTGTACAGTGGTCCCTCGGTTAACGAACACAATTCGTTCCAGAAGGTCGTTCGTGAACCGAAAATTTTGTTAACCGAAACCATTGTTTCAATGGGATTTTGGGTAATTGGTTCCAGCTCACCAAAAATTACAACAAACTAAAAATAAAAGCAGTAAAGTACACTTACTTTGAGGTGTGCATGTAGAAGGCTCCTGGTTGATGATGATGATGGGAATTAGAATGGGGGTGGAGGAGAAGGGAGAAGAGAAGGCATTGGGGTGGAAGAGAAGTCACCCCATGCCGCCATTTCACCCATAAAATTTTAGTTCTCTTGGTGTAATTCAAGATTATTTTCTTTAAATCAACACTGCGCTGCATTTTATATTGTCAATATGTAAAATAAACTTCAGAATGACCAATAATTGTACTGTAAAAATGTAAAAATAGTTTATGTTCAAGAGAGTCTCAAGCAAGAAGCTTCCTCCACTGAGCAGGGACACACACTGACACCATTTTGGGTGAGTCAAGTGGCTGTTTGGCACGATAAAAACTAGTTCCCTGTACTTCAATTATGTTAAATAATTGTTAAAATGACTAAAAACTTTAATATAAGACTTGGAAAATTATTGAATAGTACAACCTTCTTGATATTTACTCAATTGGTAACGAATTTAAGCCCTAAAACCGATTAATGTATTGCCGGACTAATACTACAGCTGGTGAGCAGGCGAAAACATGTTGGGAAAAATTCGTAAGGAATTCGTTAACTGAAATTTTTTCGTTAACCGAAGTGTAGAATCTTATGGAAGGGAATTCGTTAACCGAAATTTCGTTAACCGAGGCATTCGTTAACCGAGGAATCACTGTACTGTACTCTGCTGTACCTTACAAAATTTAAATAAATTCACTAATAATAATTTATACAAAATTTTTTCACGAAAAAAACAAAACATTGTTCAATACTATAGTACAGTATGTACAGTACTTAACAAATTGTTAAACCCAATAAAACTGTACAGTCTCTCCTCGATTTATGATGGGTTTCCGGACTGACGACCAGGTCGTAAATCAAATTGGTTGTAAGTCGAAAAGGCGAAAATAATACATAGAAAATCTAAAATGGGTGTCTCTTTTTTTTCTCAGCACCACGAGAACTCTCACTTTTACGCTTGCCAGCCTTTTTAAAGGGAATTACAAACGAAAATTTTGTCAGTACACAGCACGATCACTAACGTCTGGACTCGAAAATACGTACAGTAATTTGAAAAATATTTTATATGACTGCGGCGGTCGTATGTCCGGGTGGTCGTAAGTCGAGGAGTACCTGTACAGTTGCTACATTACCTTATGTGAGGGTGGTGAGGGCTCACCACTGGGTGAGCAAATATCTCTTGGATAGTGAGAAAGAGGTGTATGAATATAATTTGTGTATAGTGAACATTTGTATAGCAAGGGATACCTGTATTTATATTGAGATGAAGAATAAAATCAAATATACAGTATACTATACAGTATCTTAAATTTGGAAATTAATGTAGTAACATAGTAGCAACAGTGATATGGGTCTCACAGGTCACTTGTTTCTTCTGCTTGGATATACAGTATAGTACTGTATAGTAATATATAATAGCTCTCTCTCTCTCTCTCTCTCTGAGTAGTGAATAATTTTCAATGTACATATACAGCACAGTAAATGCAAGAGCTTCACATTCAATTAATTTTGTGTTTTTTCCAGGGAGAGGTGTAGTGACTTGTGAAGTATGTTGCGGCATAGACGAAAAGCACTCCAGACAGTGAAGAGTCTTGATGCATTCCCTAAAACTTCTGAAGAGTGCATCGAGGTATCAACCACTGGGGGAACGTGTAAGTTAAAAATACTCTTGTTTAATCTTTCTGGAGTAAGAAAAACAATACATAAAGCAAATAAGTGACCCTGACTACCTTAATGAGAACTCTTATTCAGTTATCATTATCATACTTATGGTTTATTCTTCATGGTATTGTTTAATCTTTTAATTAAATTGATTTGAAGTTTGAGAATGTGTGACTACAGTATTGTGAATGTTGCCATCAACAGAATTAAGGACAGCTTCTTCTTCTGTCAGAGGGGATCTCATGAATATGGTATTAGGAATCCCCCGCTTGTTTTATCAGACAACTAAACACCCCATTGGGGGGTTAGGTTAGCATTAGGGTGTTTAGTCATCTGGTGAAATAAGCAGCAGTTCTCAATGTTAATGAGATCTGTCAAAGGTGTCTTCATCATTACTATTTTAATGTACAATTTTCATTGAGGTTCAGTTGGTGGTAAGATAATTAAATATAATTGTTGCATTGCAGTTTCAGTATTAAGCTTGTTATTGATGATGTGGCTGGTGGTGATGGAGGTGATGTACTACATGGAGACCACTTTCACTTACACCTTCAAGCCAGATGCAGATTTTACTGAAAAACTCAAGATAAATGTTGACATCACAATCGCCATGCCCTGTAGATGTAAGTAGTACTGTACTGTACTATACAGTTCTGGGTATCTGATATGAATTACTTACTAGAAATCCCACCCAGTCTGTAATCGAAATGTTGACCAAAATAAGCTTCCCCCCAACATTCTTTTACCTTCCACTATGCAAAATCATAATACTGCATATAATGTACTGTACACTGGATAATATCCAAAATATTAACAATGTTTGTTAACACCATTTTTGCTGATATTTTTTAACTAATTCGATAATTGTACAATGCTGTGAGCAGTATTCAACCCCTGTGTTCCTTACTACTGAACCTTAATAGATGTTTATACTGTCTGTATGAGTGAAAATACATGCATGCTTACAATCAAAGTTATTATCATTTGGATTTTTTTCTTGTTGTTTGGAATGTGATAAAAATCATAAGTTTATATCCTGCAGTTGTTGGTGCTGATGTGTTGGACATGACAGGTCAACAAGTTATGACATTTGGTTCTTTAGAAATGGAGGATACTTGGTGGGTCTTGGATCCTGATCAACGAATTCATTTTGAAGGTGTACAGCGGGTGAGGATTTATTACTTACTGTACTGTGCTGTAGAATGATTTAGAAGTATTTATGGGGTATTCTTTACAGCTGCTCTAGTGAAGAGTTTTTGAACTTCTCCCTGTTTTATTGAATTAGACGCATGATGTTGAACATTTAGAGTATGTACACTGGTATGTGTGGTTACATGTGTGTGGTTTACTTATGTTTTAAAGCATTAATTTTCCATGCCTTAAGCTGAATGAATTTTTATATTTGTTCTACACATTTTGCATGACAGATTAATTTTAATGATTCAAGTACTGTACTGTACTAGTATTTAACCTTAAGCTTCCTTTAATTTTTTTACTCTAATTAATACAAGTACAGTACTGTACAACTATACCGGTGTAATTCAAAACTATTTCTCATAAGGAATCATCATGATTGTATTGTACTGCATTTCTTGAGGGAATTCTTCTTAACCTGCCTGCCTTCACTTGGTTCTCCTAACCCTCTCATTTACACAATAAAGTTTCAAGTACCCGTGATCACAACAAAAGTTGTATGGGACCACTCACGAGAGGTCTAATCGTTGCTCTGCAGCAATTTTTCCCACAAGAACTTTTTTTGTGTGATAACTGCGGTAAAGTTTTTGCCGATCAACCCCCCCAGTTCACAAACCAGTCTATAAATTTTCCCCAAACATCATTTTAAATTTTGTGGATTAAAGTACAGTATGTAGAAGAATGTGGAAACCTAATATGAGTCCATTACTTACCTTAGTTTGGCCACGGTGAATTTGTGAAGTCAGTGGGTTTGGGGCTGGCAGGAGGTCACACCAGGCCACGCCATGAGTGGGGGGATGACTTGTGAGGGTGAGGGAGGGAGAAACGGCAACTACTGACATGGAATCATGATTCAGCAATTAGGAACAAGTCCTTATTTCCTTATTTTCTGGATGAACACAACTTATTATGGAAAATTGCCTTATTCTATTCACTTATGGGATTAGTTCCAAGTGCAGATTGAGCAAAATTACTTATTCACACACACATGTTGTTTTTCCACTGTTTATATTATTTACACTATTTACTTCATACCACAGAATACTCAGTAGTTCTTCAGGGTGTAGTATTCCCTATAAGGGGGCTAGGACACATGACTTGACTCCATCGTGACCGTGCACGTCTTGACTCTTCCCTGACCGAGGTATGACTTGACCCTGCGAGATATGAAATTTTTTGCGTGCTGCATTCAAAATACTCTGAATTCCAGGATGTATGTTGCACTCCTCTGCTTATCTTTCAGGTATGTATGTCGCCATTATCAGGTTAACATTACCAGAAAAAAATAAGACGAGAATAAGACTATATTTTTCACTTCGAATATAGAAGAAAAAAAATATTTGTGTTCCAATTTCATAGATGTCCAAGGTACAATATTATATAGTTATAGAGGCAGAATTTATGAACTTTCCAGAGGGAGAAACTGATGGACATTGGAATACCACCCATGCTTTGGTACTTTCTGGAAGCTTCCCTCACACGATCTTGTATTCATCTATGATGCACGGAAATTTGATGCAATTACCTTGAGAACTTTTGGGGGGCAAATTTTTTAAAGTTTAATGATGCCATTCGAGTCACCGATGCAAAAAGTGCTACCCAATGATTTGACACAATTTGCGTTATAATGCTCAAGAGGGTTAAAATATAACTTCCTTCCTTCCTTTTCATGCTGGTTTAGAATCTCACAGGTCACTTGTCAAAAGACCTTCTGACCATAAAGCAAAGGGAAGAGACAAGTGACATATGATTTCTTTTTCTTCTCTTGGTATATTTCTTAGGGGCAGGAAAATGTGGAAACAAAAATTTGAAACCCAAGTTTCAACGGAGGAGTAAAGAGGAAATTAAACTATCTTTGTGGTTTGTCCCAGTAACTGTTTTATTCAATGGGCTTGAAGCAACTGGTAAAATGGAACTGGGTCTTACTTCATAAATCTCTGATTTCCTGGGGCTGGGCGAGTAGCTGCTTATGCAATGAATATACTGATCTGACAGGATGGTGCCCCATGTTTCCAGAATGTAGATAAAGTAGAGTGTTGTACTGCAGTCCCCTGGACAAGGGAGGTTCTTCAATTGGGAACTCTAATGGTGAATTTTTGCAGAGCTCTTGTCTCTCTTTTGGAATTTCACACATTCATTCCTTTCTTTATTACTACTATTTTAGGTTATTGATTAATTCAGTGACTTACCATACTATGCACTAATCTGCCTAATACTGTATTTTATTTCAATTACTGTACAGGTGAACAGCTATCTACGGGACCAGTTCCACTCCATACATGAGCTATTGTGGAGGAGTGGTTACACAAATATTTTTGGTGATATGCCTCGAAGGTAAGCAAGCAAAATTTGTTTTTATATCTGCATATTTTTTTTTTCTTTTATAAACACTTGTTCTTACCACAGATATTAGTTATGATATGCCATACAATATTTTTATCTACTTTTTTTTTTTTACATTTCTCTGTAAGTGATGGGACGTTATGTGTAATACAGTACAGTACTGTAATTTATGTGTGTTCATCCTGGTGAGGTAGTGGTTCTACTTCCTGGAGTGTCTCTCTTGAGTGGTGTGTAGGAGTATAACCGAATATGGTACACAAGATTTCTATTTACTGTACACTGGATGAAGCTTATTGATTTTTAGCATCACGAGAGTAAAGTCATTATGTGACCTTATTGGAAGATGGATTTGGCAGCGTAATGATCACAGGTGTCTCACTATTGCTTTTACTGACACTTGGTATTTCATGAGTGTCAATGATGCCAATTGATTCACAAGAGCTCATAATGACCCCAAGCAAATCATAGGTGTTCATAATAACACCAGGTAACTTAAGTACTGTACTCATAATGACTCCAGGTGTTTATTATGATTAATAGGTGTTCAAAATGATCTCAGTTAAATTACAGATAATTTAATCAATAAACAGAAACATAAAATTATTCTGATATAGTGGTTACACTGATGCCACAATATACAAAATACTGTATGCAGTATAGGTATACTTCTGGCAACAAAGTAGATATGTTCACAAAATTCACTTCATTCTAGAAAACTTTTTTGTTAGAATTAAATTTAACATGGAGTAAATTGGAATAGGTTTCAATCCTTTGTTATTCTGTATATTGCATTCACCAAATATGAATGATACAAAGTGCATTACAGGATAAAATACAATAGTGTAGTAAATATGTTATGTACAAAAATAGCTCCTTCTACACTCAAACCATTCTCTGGGTGATGCAATGCCAAGAGTGGGTGACACAATTCAACCAGGCATCCATCCAGCTGCCTCAGATGTGCATGGCTGCTGCACTGTGTGTATGCTGTGATGTCACATTGAGGGAAAGCAGCGTGACTAGGCTTAAATTTACTTTCACAATAAGTGGCGAAGAGGATAAAGTAAACTTACAGCAGAGGTGCACTAGAGGTGCTAGGTGTACTTTTTTAAACTGAAATACTGTAGGTCTAACCAGCTGAATAACAAAGATGTGTTATTTACAAACTGCCCCCTGCCTCCACACTTATGTTTACTTCCCACACAGAATACACATCCATGCTCTTCATTTTTCTTATTTTATAGTTTTATATTATCTTATTTATTTTTTTCTAAGTCACATTAGAGAATTGAAATGATTTTTCCACAACTTTTATATAGTTTCATTATATGTTTGAATGGCAACATGCATAGCTATCTCATAGGCCTCAGACAACTGGCGAATGTGTTATGTTTTGAGTTGTGTACTTCGTTCTGATTGGCTGAAGTAATAACAAACAACTATGGCGATGTATTCTTAATGAATTCCACTTTTTTATTAATTTTCTTAATTTTAAAGCAAAACAGAGAAAATCAAATTTCATAATAAAGAAGCTTCATATTGCCAAAGGTGTATAGTACCTATAAAAAGACTTATCTTTTTTATAAGTCTTTTTCTCTAAATTGAAATGAATAGGGTGAAGTTGAACTATTGGTCACCTCACTTGTACATAAATGTGCATATACTGTAGGTGTTGACCATTTTACGATGGATCTATATACGATCGATCAGTTTTACGATGATTAAAAATTAACGCCATTTACCTCTATGCGATGGCTAAGATTAATTTTCCAATTGTCGGTGCTTGAATGCTTTTCCTACATTGTCACTGCTGGGGTGTTGGTGGTACAGCAGTAATGTGCATAACTCTCACCAGTATGTCAAGAGTTCGAGCCTCGGCCCAGATTCATGTGAGAAGAGTGTTGTCCTGCTTGACCCTACCAAACATCACAGGTTTCCAGGTCCCCAGTTTCCTCCTGTACTAATGCTGAATAAACCGCCCAAATAGCTAGTAAGCTGATAAGTGAAAAAAATATATATTAAAAAGTGATGTGTAATAACTTGCAATATTCCGGGATATGATGATACGATCTCGGAATGACGTAACATGTGCGGCCCACGCCCGTCCCCAGTGACTGCCAGCCTTTACTGTGTCACATCGCCCAGAGGATGGTTTGGATGTGGAAGAAGCTATTCTTTGTACCTAAAATAATGTATGCTGTACCAGTAAATGTGAGGAATAAATAGAAATAATAATGAATAAAAGAAAAAAATATATTGGCAAGCTTGTCACTATGCTCGGGACTTAACACAGCAAGCTGAGATCCCGTGCCACTGCCCCGTCCCCCTCCCTCGCTCTTTGTGCTATCTCCCACACACATAAGAAATGTATACCTTTCCTTTATGTTTTTGACCTTATGATAATTATTATTATATTTGTTTGCATATTCTGCATGAAACATTGTGATTGCATGTAATAAATAAAAAAAATAGAGAAAGAAAATTATGAATGTCTACCCAAAATTATGAGTTGAAAGATATCTGCTGTGGGTGCTAACTCTGAGTGCTCCTTAGGGTCTCAGGAACAGAACCTTTTTTCCCCCATAAGTTATTAATATCAATATACGATCGATCACCTTATGGTGGCTTTTCGAAGTTCCGAATCCCATTGTATAACTGTCAACACCCGTGCAAGCATGTGTATCATGGTTTCAAAATTTTTTTAAAATCTTTGTTACTTTTACTTTTCACTTTCACTGTATCTTTGTGCTCTTACCTCTCATTTTAGACGGATCATCCCCGAGAGGGAGAAGGATGCCTGTCGGTTATATGGGACCTTAGAAATCAACAAAGTGGCTGGTAACTTCCACATCACAGCAGGTATAGTATGTTTCATAAGTTATGTAAAGCACTTCACTAAGTATCCATGCACCTAAGCCCCTTGTATTGCTTTTATCATTCACTATCTATCCACTTAAGCTCCCTGTATTGTTTTTATCACTTAAGGTCTTCATTATGAAGTCTAGACAATAGGAAGACAATCTTTCTCTCCATTACAGTAAGTCTTAAGGGTCCCATACATGCTCATTAACTGAATTTACTTGCATTTGGAACTGTTGCATCTTCTTTTATGTCAAGAATAAAAAATAGGAAGAGAAATCACACAAAATGTGCAAAGAGTTGTTACAGAAAAGGGACGAGTTATCCCATATGACATAACTTGAGGAATTGAGATTTAAGAAAGGAAATTGAATTACCTGAGGTTGAAAGAAGAAACATACCTAAAGTTATTGTCTTTATTTTCTCATAATACTTTTTTTGGATCACCTGAAGATTAGTGCCCCAGCTTATTTAACCTGATTAAACACCCTATGTTACATTAAATCGAAATGCCACTTAAACATGTATGATCCTGAGAGTGTTAAGGTGAAATAAGCTGGAGTTAAACTTCAGATGATTCATGGTATATCTAGTATTCTTGTTATAATATTTAGCAACGTGGTTGGAATCGAGAGCAAATATACAGAAGTACCCGGACTCTCCCTTTCATTCATCCATTGTTACGCTGTAATAAATATGTTTTCTGGTGTTACTGATTCCATCCACTGCATTATAGTGAAAACAGTCTTCAAAGTTAGAAAAATATCAGTTAATATCAGTATTCAGTGCATAAGGTAAACAGATATGACTGGAGGATAGAAAATGTCACCAGTATCAACTGTATGGTTTCTTGTTTTATAAACAGCTTTTTATTGTCATTGGTATATATTTCTTGGGTTGAGTAAATGCTTTACTTGGTCCCATTCTCAGAACCACTTCAGTATGTTTTAAGACAGTATGACCAATATCAGTAAACAATTTCCTTTCCTTCTTGATCTAAATTTCATGTTCTGTTAAAGTTTTTAATTCTTTAAATATCATATATTGTTAGGCTACTTCTAAATACATGTTTATGGTTTCACTTGATTTAGGTAAAACCATACCACTTCCTAGGGGTCATGCCCATTTGGCTGTGTTCATGGACGACAGAGACTACAATTTCACCCACCGGATCAATAAGCTGTCCTTTGGTGACCCAGCACCTGGGATTGTGCATCCACTGGAGGGTGATGAACAGTTGGCTGAAAAGAGTGAGTGTCACTTATTTCTTACTAGTGTAATGTTTCTTATGGTGTATCCCAGTACTGTATGAAGGTATGTTGGTAAATCAGGCAAATAAATTAGTAAGTCTTATAAGGTCGTTCAGATATCTAGACGGTCCGTCCCTCGTAACGATCTTCAAGAGTGAAGCGCTTCCCCATCTGGAGTACTGTCACCCTGTTTGGTTCCAAAGCTATACAGTCATTTCTGCTACAACGCAATAATTGCATTCTTGTGAAACCTCACGTTGTAGAAATTCACACAATAAAAACAACAGGACTTATAGAGAAAATAGGGTTAGGTGCCTATTACTTTGTCCGTGATCTCACAGATTTGCTAGCACTCAAGCTTGTTCCAGCATGTTCCAGCAATAGTGTTATAGCCTTTCTTTTACGTTCACCACCGGCAATTCGATCACCAGAACGCTTCTTGGAAACATTCTTCTTACCTTATCTTTCCATATTCATGGCTTACACAACAAAATTGGAGAAAACAGCAAAAATCACAGACACTTCACAGAGCAATCGACAGAAACCGCGTGATTCAACTGATCATGTGATGTAAACGCAGAGCGCTGGTATAAACCGTTATTAGTCCGCACTGCGAAACATTTTTTTTACTTATTCTTTTCATACAGTATTTATGGGTAACAGCTAAATTTGCAAAAAAAAGAATGAAATTTATAGAGTACCTCTCAAAAAGCACTTCACAAACAAAACACATGAATCAATTGAACATGTAATGTCGAACATGAACTGTAAACATTGCATAACCCTGCGCCACGCTTAAAACGTTGAGGATGGAATCGTGTTATAGCCAGCATTCATATGCAAAATTTTGCGTTTTACAAACAGCGTTCCCCTATTGATCAATCGCATTACAACCAATTCGTGTTGACAAAACACACGTAGCAGAAATGACTGTACATGTACTGTACTTGGGATTGTCATTTGATTGAAAATTTCCAAAGGAGGGCCACCAGACTGGTGCCTGCACTACGGCACCTCAGCTACCCCAAGAGATTGGAGCGCCTGAACTTGCCTAGCTTATCCAGTAAGTCCTTGCTTAACATCGGGGTTACGTTGCTATAAATGCGACGTTACATGAAACAACGTTAAGCTGATCAATTTTCCCCATAAGAAATAGATAAAATACTGGAGTAACATTCCTTTGCCTCCCTTTGCCCCATGAAATACATTACATATACAGAAAATCATTGCCATTTCTATAGAAAATAGTGCATACATATACAACTACTAAGTTTGTATTGGTATTCACCGATGGGCGGAGGTGGGAGAGCGAGTGTGTGGTGGGTAGTGAAATAGTGGAGGCAGATGGCGGGAGGGGAGGAGGAGGAGGGTGGGAGCAAAGGAGGTTTGTGAGTCACTGAGACTCTGCACCGAGCTGAGATAGCATAGCGTGGCCTGACGAGAGCAGGTGATGCAACGTAGAAAGTAGTCCGTGACGATGCAAAACGAAGTAGTATCGGATCACCGGGATGTTAAACGAATTTTTGGTCTCTAAAGTTTTGCGACGTAGTACCAAAACAATGTTAAGTGGGACATTGTTAAGTGCAGACTTACTGTACTACAGACGGGCAAGGGGGGATCTAATTGTGGTGTATAAGCATCTCAAGGTGCACTACTCAATTGAGTGTCCTTACCTGGAGCTGGCAGACGCTCGCCCCACAAGGGGTCACAGCTCAAGGTTGAAAAAGCCACAAACCCAGAAAACTGTGAGGGGTAACCTTTTCTGAGTGAGAGTTGTGAACTCTTGGAATAATCTGCCAGAGAGTGTTGTGACGGCACCGAGTGTGAGCGGTTTCAAGACCAGACTTGACAAGCACTGGTGCAGGTTCAGATATATTCAGGAGCCGGTGCATGCCCAGTACTTTCCAACAGTGTGTAACAGAGACTTGACCGATTGCCCAAGCGGCCAACGAGCCGATCAGTGGTGAAGAGGATAAAAGTAAAGTAAGTAAAGTGTCACTGGGAAATCAACTTGGTGCCGAGTCAACAGTAATAAAGTATTCCCACAGCAGTTCATGAAACCTTGATTCATCCTTTTTCATTCATTATAAATTTGAAATGTGGATTTATAGTACAGTAGTGTCTTTAAGACTGCTTTGTGATGATTACTGTACTTATTCTCACTCTAGTACATGGGAATGGGGGTACAGTTTGTGTTACAGATATTTGATGTTTTATTTTTGCTCTGTGCATTTCAGAAACTACAGGCCTTGTTTTCTTTTGGCAGATCACATGACATACCAGTACTTTGTTACAGTAGTACCAACTTATGTCAACACATACAGTCACCGTGGCTCTTCATTCCAGTACTCTGTAGCAGAACAGTCTAGAGAAATATCACATGAAAAGGTTTGTTTTACAGCAATCTTTCATTGTAGTGTACATGTGCCGTGGTATTGACCCCTGTTCACACGTAGAGGTCCAGGGTTTAATTCCCGACTAGTGAGGTATTGTTGCATTATTTCATGCCTCAAAGATGGAAAAAATCACCCATTCCCAGAATTTTCCGGGTACTGGGAAAATTTTCTCTGAATTTTCCAGAAAATGTGCCCCTCGCAAAATAATTCCCAAAGCTCCTTGATGATGATACTATTTAACTTGAGGTGTCCAAGTGGTGAGAAAACCTGTTGTAGAGGGTTGGTTAACTACAATATGACTTAGGTCTTAGGGTGTAGGGAGCAGCTACACCTACATTATGGCAGATCATACTCAAGGAAAAGACTCAGTGGGCACTTTTTGAACAAGGCCTTTCTCTATGCTTAGTGCACTAGTGAGCAGTATTTAATTATAAGAGCATCATGTATTAAACTCCAGTTAAACCAGAATTTACCAGCACTTATTAATTAATTCACTGAATTTAAGAAAAACTGGTGCAGACGAAGCATCACATCTAGCTACTGTATCAGGAGCAAAATAAAAAAACAAGTACAATTTAACCCTCCCAAAAACATTGTAACTATGCCAGAGGTAGACTTTTGAAGAGCTAAAAATGTATCCCATATTACTATTATTTCGTTCTGTGAAATATCAACAGAATTCCCATGGAACTCCTGGGATTTACTTCAAGTATGATGTGTCTGCCCTGAAGGTGGAGGTCGTGGAGCATCATGAGCCTTTGATAACATTCCTCACACGGTTATGTGGGATTGTTGGAGGAATCTTCACATGTTCAGGTGTGTTATCAAGATGTTACAGTACAGTATTACTATTTTTAGGTGTAATATATCCAGAGTACTTTGATCATGTGTGGATTTTTTCATGATTATTAGAGATTTTATATGATACCATAGACAGGTATCATAGTTCACATTTATGCTACCATGTCATGTGATTGTTTTTATGATAATTTACCATTACGTTTATGAGATTCTGGTATTAATACAGAGAAATATTGTGTGTAATAGTTTCTCCAATCATGTAATTTTACACTTAGGCTGTGAAGTGGCCTAAAGAGACTATCATTTACAGTCCAATCCACTTATAAGCCACACAGACTGGTAGCCTCGAAATTTCTAACTGGCAACTTTGTTAGGTCTATCCCTTCCCCACCTCCTGAAACATACAAACCAGGCAATTAATCGGTGGTCAGCCAAGGTGTAAAGTCAACTCTTGCTCCCAATAACTGAGGGAAAATTGATTTTTAAAGTTATTTGTCCCTGCTAACATGTTCCATGGTAAGATTTAACTTTGCACTGATGGTTGAAATTTTGAAAATAAATTTTTGGGGTCCGAAAAATTAATTTTGTCCCAAATCCTAGTTTACACTCTACAGTGTCTGCAAAAGCCTTGAACCCCCCTTGAGAGGGAGAAAAACGTATCCGGGTTTTCTGCGTTCACAACCGTACATCGAGTGAATATGAAGTTGTTGTAACATCTGGCAACTTCTGGGAGTCTGGTTGAGCCACTGTGAGCATAGAATCAGGTTTGCCAGATTGGGCAAAAAGTAGCGGATTGGGCTACCTTTTTTGGGTGTCCGCTCCTAAAATTAGAGATCCGCTATTTGCTACTTTTGGGGCTACTTCAAATTATATTTGAGCTTATTTTCAGATGATTAGGCTACTTCCATTTTGTATTCTCTTGAAACATTAAAGAAAGTAAAGAACTTCTCACCAAATATTTGTCTTAGTCACACACGTCCTCCATTCTCAGACCTCCCACTTGAACTTGCTGATCAGTCTAAGATAACTGAAATTGAGAGTCAGTGGCATCAAGCGTAACTATTGATTGTCAATAAGTAATGCCCTAGTTGAATGGGTATTTTCGAGAGTTACATCAGTTAAAACTAAATTGAGGAACAGAATGGGGCTAGAGCTCTTAACATCAATATTAGGAATAAAAACAAGCATTGAACTAAATGGAACTTGCTGTTCGTCATTTGATCCTCCAATGTCCAAGCTGAATTATGACTCGTCAATCTATAGAGATGAGGAAGTAGAAACAGAAGAGGAAGACCTACTGAACAGTGTAGATCTATAAATTAGAAATTTCAATTTGGCTAAAAGTGATGTGTGTGTTTACAAAAGATTTATAGTTGTGTTAATTTACTGTAAGTAAGATTAATAAGAAGAAAAGTTATGTTAATTTAATATACAGTGATCCCTCGGTTAACGAGTGCCTCGGTTAATGAAATTTCGGTTCACGAATTACCTTCCACAAGATTCTTCACTTCGGTTAACGAAAAAATTTTGGTTAACGAATTCCTTAGGAATTTATCCCAACATATTTTCGCCTGCATTTGCCTGCTCACCAGCTGTAGTATTAGTCCGCCAATACAGTAATCGGCTTTAGGACTTAAATTCCTTACAATTTTAGTAAATATCAAGAAGGTTGTACTATTCAATAATTTTAAAAGTTTTATATTAAATTTTGTATTCATTTTAACAATTATTGAACATAATTGAAGTACAGGAAACAATTTTTTTGCACGCCAAACAGCCACTCAACACACCAAGCTTGGCGTCAGTTTGTTTACCGGTTCAGAGGAAGGAACATCTTGTTTGAGACTTCAACAAAAACACTTTTTTCTGTGTTTCCAGTCAAATTATTGGTCATTTTGAAATATATTTTACATATTGATAATATATAGCGCAGTACAGTGTTGATTTAAAGAAAATAATCTTGAATAACACCAAGTGAACTAAAATTTTATGTGTGAAATGGCAGCATGGGGTGACTTCTCTTCCACCCCAATGCCTTCTCTTCTCCCTTCTCCTCCACCCCCATTCTAATTCCCATCATCATCATCATCAACCAGGAGCCTTCTACATGCACACCTCAAAGTATGTGTACTTTACTGCATTTATTTTTAGTTTGTTTGTAATTTTCGGTGAGCTGGAACCAATTACCCAAAAACCCATTGAAACAATGGTTTCGCTTAACGAATTTTTCAGTTAACGAGCAACCTTCTGGAACGAATTGTGCTCGTTAACCGAAGGACCACTGTGTGTGTTGCGTATATATATATATATATATATATATATATATATATATATATATATATATATATATATATATATATATATATATATATATATATATATATATATATATATATATATATATATATATATATATATATATATATATATATATATATATATATATATATATATATATATATATATATATATATATATATATACATACACAGTTAAACCCCACTTAATCGTCAATTGAACCCAGAGGGTCCCGCGTTAATGAAATCGCTAAGTGAACAACAGAACATATGGGATTAATTCCAATAGAAAACCGCCCCGACCCCCAAACTCCACTTTTTGAAGGGCACATACCTATGTTGTAGTAAAAATAACATCTTAATTTTATGATGGTACATGCACACAATTAATACTTAGAGAAATAGAGAAATACAGTCGCCAAGTTAATGTCCATTCAAATAATGGACTCAACTCCCTCCCCCTCTCACACACTACACAGCCGGCTAACAGATGGTCGGTCGGTCCCTCCCTCCCCCCCCCCCCACCCCCCACCAACCGTCCCAAGGAGATGTGTGGGATAACCTCAAACTAAAGTTAGGAAAATATAATTGACATTGCTGGATTCCTTGTAAGACCAGGAATATTTTGAATATAAATGTCATATATTTTGCACAAAAGATAACATAGTTACCTAGAGAAAAATTTGTATCTAAAAATTGTAAGTTTAAAGCAAAATATATGATGTTTATATTCAAAATGATCACCAAATTATAAGAATTCCAGCAATGTAAATTATATTCTGACCGGGTAATTTGTATGAATTTTATGAGCTAAAACAAATATCTTCAGTTAATAAAAAAAATAATAATCTTCAGGACACTATCTGTCAATCAAAGTACCCCACCTTGCCTCCCCCCCTCTTCCAACCGCGCGGTCAGTCCCAACCCTCCCCCCCACCCCCCACCAATCCTCCCTTCCAGAGTTTTTAACATTTAGTATTAAATAATACCTCAGATTAAAGTTAGGATAATATAATTGACATTGCTGGATTCCTTGTAAGACCAGGAATATTTTGAATATAAATGTCATATATTTTGCACAAAAGATACCATAGTTACCTAGAGAAAAATTTTTATCTAAAAATTGTAAGTTTAAAGCAAAATCTATGATGTTTATATTCAAAATGATCACCAAATTATAAGAATTCCAGCAATGTAAATTATATTCTGACCGGGTAATTTGTATGAATTTTATGAGCTAAAACAAATATCTTCAGTTAATAAAAAAAAATAATAATTCTTCACAGGGTAACAGATGGTCGGTCGGTCCCTCCCTCACCCCCCACCAACCGTCCCAAGGAGATGTGTGGGATAACCACTAAATTTTAATAAATAATACCTCAAACTAAAGTTAGGATAATATAATTGACATTGCTGGATTCCTTGTAAGACCAGGAATATTTTGAATATAAATGTCATATATTTTGCACAAAAGATACCATAGTTACCTAGAGAAAATTTTTTATCTAAAAATTGTAAGTTTAAAGCAAAATATATGATGTTTATATTCAAAATGATCACCAAATTATAAGAATTCCAGCAATGTAAATTATATTCTGACCAACAATTTGTATGAATTTTATGAGCTAAAACAGGCAGTCAGGCAGGGTGGCGGGTGGGTGGGGCAAATCTAAAAATGGCGTCTCGAGCGGACACTCACCGTATATGTGGAAAAAATCCGTGTTAAGTGAAAGTTCAGCTCTGGCGAGGCACCGCGTATATGATAAAAGCGCGTTAAGTGAAACTTAGCGTTAGGCGAGGTAATACTGTATATATATATATATATATATATATATATATATATATATATATATATATATATATATATGTATGTATGTATGTATGTATATGTATGTATGTATGTATGTATGTATGTATGTATGTATGTATGTATGTACATGTATGTGTATGTATGTATGTATGTATGTATGTATGTATATATATATATATATATATATATATATATATATATATATATATATATATATATATATATATATATATATATATATATATATATATATATATATATATATATATATATATTCCTCGACTTAACGATCACCCGGACATACGGCCGCCGCAATCGTATAAAATATTATTCAAATTGCGTATTTTCGAGTCCCAACGTAAGTGATTGCTCTGTGTACTAACAAAATTTTCTCTTTGTAATTCCCTTTAAAATGGCTGGCAAGCGTAAAAGTGAAAGTTTTCGTGTTGCTAAGAAGAAAAGAGACCCATTTTAGATTTTCTATGTACAGTATTATTTTCTCATTTTCGACTTACGACCTGGTCGTCGGTCCCTAACCCCGTCGTAAGTCGAGGACTGACTGTATATAGGGCTACTTGTCATTTAGATCCGCTACTTTTAAGGTCTATTTCTGCTACTTTTGGTCACAAGTATCTGGCTGAGCTGTGGCCAAGAGAGGGGGGTGTTCTTGGCACTTCACCTGGATAATTGTGTTCTCCCTCCCATCATGTTTGTGGTGCTTATTTTGGCCTGACATTAACCAAAATGGCTGGGAAGTACTTGAGTGATGTGGAGAAGTCCAAAATATTAACTTTGATTGGTGAAAAGTGAGTTTTGTAGTTACCAGACACCACTTTCTGATTGAAAGTTTCTGGAAATCATGATACAGGTATCATTCACTATATTTCCTTCACATTATTGATGTACAGTATATCTCAATAAAGTATCTGTCCACGCTCTGTGTGAAACATTATGAGGCCACGGTTGATATATAGTTTAACATAAGTAATGCAATGTGCATTATTTTGGCATAATTAATATGATGTTCAGTTACCAAATGTAGTAGGATCAGTATGCCATAGAGCCAATCACACCTACCCTCCCGGGACATCACAGATATTTTTTTGAGGTACAGTACTGTACTTAGTGAAGAGATCCATCATGAAACTGTACAGTATTTTTGGTCACTGGGGATCAAATAAATATTAGGCACCCCAGCATATTTCATGTAATCATCTTAATGGTACCTGGGGGAAGGGGGTTAATCTTAGAATGTTTAATCATCAGGTGAAATAAGCAAGGGTGCCTAACCTTCACATTATGTCAGTGGTAATTTATTGATAGAAGTACAGTGCACTGTATTGCATATGCACAACCACAAGTGATAAAAACAAGTTAATTAGTGGTGAAGAAAAGGATAGGTGCCACTGAATGAAGCTGTTATTGAAAACTCAGTACTTTACTGTACAGTAATAGTGAGTGTTTTCATGATAACCATTTTGATCTTGGCTAGTGGTGCTGTGAATTGTATGCTTGCCTTGTAAGTGTTTAATTCTGGGTTCATATTAAGATAATTTGTTCATGTGGCATTATGAAATGTTCACCAATAATCCAGGTTATTTTTTCTTTCTTTTATTTCCGAACTGCTTATTATGTTTACAATTCCTGTCCCTTATTAAACTTTTGTTACGTTATACTTATGTCAACAGGTTTGATTAGCCGTTTTGTTGGTCTGTTGGTGAACTGCTTGACGTGTCGTTTCTTAAAATCTGATGATAATGGAAAAGTGGAGGAGGAGGCATCCAAGCCTTTACTTAAGCCTCCTGCCACCCTCCTTCTTGCATCAAATCTCCAGCCATCAGTTGCTGGGCCACAACTCACCTCGACCATCACTACTACCCCTCCAACTTTAGTGTCAGGACCATCACAAGAACCAAGCCCTACTACCTGACACCTTTTATCCCTCTTCATTAAATGAGGAACATCTAGTTTTCACCACATGTAGTTTATCATGTAGAAGGTACTCATCATTTTCTCACAATTAACAGTTTAGTTTATTTCTAATACTTCTATTTATATCACTTTGCTTAAAGACTTTATACAACAGTTTTATCAAGATGTTAGATTTTTATGGTTTGATTTTTGTGACTTAGTTGGAATTATTGGAGTAAGTCTGTCAGTTTAAACATCAGAGTCTGAATTAAGCTTGGTATTAAAAATTATGTTTTCCTTAATACTATGAGATTGATATGTATTAATATTTTAGTGAATCCAGTGATCTTGTATCTTCTTCTCTATGTAGATATTATGATTAGCTTAAATTATTATTGTAATGTGTAAGGTTTGCTTTATTTGTTTTTATATATTACATCCTTAAGTTTTAGCCACCATTATTCATATTGTTTATGTAATGATGAGACTTTTGTTTTAAAAATTCATCACATGTTAAATCCTATCTTTTAATGTTGTTAAATTTGTCTTCTGAAAATTCTAAAGTTTGTTGGTAAATACAGCACAGTACAGTATGTACAGTACTCACATTCTGTTATGTTCATAAATATTTATAGAGGAGCATGTTACATAGCTGATTTTTTTTTAACTTAGGTAATTCATAATAGAGGTTGAAAAATAAAAGAGCAATCTGTGTAATTACTGTATTTCATTAGTGTTACTATTTATTATATTTGGTAATTCTGTTTTTTAAGTTTTGGAGCTGATATCAGATTAATTAATAAAAGAATTTGAATCATATTGTCTACATAACAAATTATCTTTATAACAGAAGAGGATTTGCTCTTTCTTTATTCATTTTAATTTTCATGGTTATTTTGAATCTGAAATTTCACAAAAACTTCAGCTTGATGTCAACCTCAAAAGATTGTTGTTCATTTTCATTCTCTTATCATTTTATATGTACAGTAAAGTACTCTTTCAATTTTTATCATGTTATTTAATTTTACTATTCCTTTGCTTATACTTCCTACTTAACTCTTCAACCAGGAAGCACATAAATTTATGGGTAGTATCTGCCATGGCCGCAGCAGGAAGCCCATAGATTTACGCGCTTGTTAGCACCATTAAAACAAAGTTTACATGTGATATCTTCTTGTGACAAAATTCCTACAGCTTCTAGCCACTCCAGTAACACAAGGAAAGTATTTGCCCACCCACACACTTTATTACCCACTAGCCACCATGCCGAAAAGATTAACATCGGTCACGTCTCCTTCCTTCTCCCTGGGAAGACATCCCGCTACTGTATACTGGGAGTCCCCGGGTTACTAACGGGTTCCGTTCCTGAGGATGTTTGTATGTCGGATTTATACGTAAGTCAGAACACATGCTATATGCATACTGTACTTACAAAACAATGTTTAAAATCACACTACTGTATATCATAGCCTAAGTCATTATATATATATATATATATATATATATATATATATATATATATATTCACTTAATTTAAGACAAAAGAAGAAATAGAATGACAAAATACAGTAAATGAAAGTAAATAATAACTCATCAGGTAAATAAAATAATGTACTACTGTAAATTTCATGTTTAATCCCATTCGTATACTTTTTCCATGCAAACCTGGCCCGTTGGCCATGCCCCACTTTTATTCTAATAGCTGATTGGTTTCTAGAAAATTCAAACTAAATGTGTTCACAATTGATAAGCAGACTTGTTATTACCTAAAATAATGTTAAATATCTGGATTATCAAAATGCAATTCATTTCAAGGCATTAGCACTTCAGAGATGCTGTTAGAAAATTTTAAATATTTATTACAAAAGGTCAATAAATATGTGCTTATATACGCACAGTATGGGAGGGGGGGGACCAATCGGCTATTTGTAGCTAAAGACGAGGGGCGTGGCTTACGAGCCACCTTAGTGTGGAATACTATAGTGATATGAATGCGATACTAGTGAAGATAATGATGATATAGAAGAAATGAAGATTGATGATGAAGGTGTAGAAGCTGTGAGTGGTCCATCTCTCAGGCTATTGTTTGTGTCAACAAGAGAAATTTTTTTAGCCTTTTGTAATAAAATTAGTTAGAACTAAAATTTGTATGTAATGCGAACTGTAGCATGTTTGTATTCAAACTAATCACTATCTTATAAGAATTCCTGCAATGTTAATTGTATTCTCCCAGGTCAGTTTAGTAACATTTTATAAGAGAAAACTTAGTCACTCAACCCGTACAGCGTCAACGGCGTAACAGTTACGCCGCAATGTTTCTGTACTCCCAGCATCAACGGCATAACAGTTATGCCGATATACTTTCTAGATAAAAAATAAGTACCTACTGTAAAATCTATACTTATAATGCAAAAGTGAAACCAAATAAAAAAAATAATAAAATCATACCAAAAAAAAAATACTTATTGGTGAAAATTATTGTGAAAATGAGTGTAAATAATACGAAAAAGGATAAATATATTGATGTTCCTAAATCGAGATAGACGATAAATAAAGAAAAAACAGCTACAGACAGTGAAAACTTACGGTAATTAGCATAATTCCACTCTCACTCAATGAAAAACGTCAACACCCGTAAAACTCTGCGGGTTCTACGTGTAAACTTTCAACGCTGCGACACGTTCACCCATGGGCGTAACTACACCTTCCATGGTCCGGTGAGTTGCTAAGTAATGTTTTTCCTTCATTATATGATAGTATAAGTCCATTTCAGCCAAAATCCAAAGTAAAAAAATTGCCGACGCCAGCCGAACATAATTATATTAACTTAGCTGACGCCATATGGGTTAAGGACAGATAAATAAATAAGCATTAGACCTTGGCATCAAATGTCAAACATATCACCTCACCTTCCCCCCCCCCTCCAATCTTCCCATCAGCTGATTGCTAGTAAACAGACCATTTCACATCCCATAATTTTAGACCATTTCATGTCCCATAATTTTAGCTGTGTTGATTTATGAGTGTTTGTTTTAACATAATACTACAAAAAACAATGTTAAGTTTATTCTAGGATATGGGCTGAGGTGCATCTGGGTAGAATCTCAGTCTTTTTAGTATTTTGTGTTTCTCTCAAGTACCAAACTAAATTATTCCATTGAAACAACACTTTCATTTAGTGCGAATTCGGTTTAAAGCGACCTCTCTTGGAACGTATCTCGTGTTATATCGACATTCTACTGTACAGTACAGTGCAGGTAAACCTTGATAAATGATGTCCTGTTCAGCGATATTCCGCTTTAACAATGGTCATAAATTAAGACCATTTCGCTATACAGTGACCCCTCGTTTAACGAACACCTCGGTTAACGTAATTTCGATTAACGAACTGCCTTCCATAAGGATCTTCAATTCGGTTAACGAAAAAAAATTCGCTTAACGAACTTCTTACGAACCGACCTCAACATGTTTTCGCTTGCACTGACAGGGCAACCAGCTTTAGTATCAGTCCGCCAATACATTAATCGGTTCTAGGGCTTAAATTCCTTACTATTTTTGTAAATATCAAGAAGTTTATACTATTCAATAATTTTAAAAGTTTAATATTCAATTTTTTAGTCATTTTAACAATTATTGAACAAAATTGAAGGTAAAGTGACTAGTTTAATGCGCGGCATCCAGCCTCTTTACACAGCAAACAGGCGTCAGTCTCTCTCTGTTTTCACTGGAGGTAACATCTTGCTTGAGACTCTCTTCAACTAAACGCTTTTTTTCTGTGTTTCCAAGCAAATTATTGGTCATTTTGAAATATATTTTATATATTGACAATATATAATGCAGTGCAGCGTTGATTTAAAGAAAATAATCTTGAATTAAACCAGAGAGCTAAAATTTTATGGGTGAAATGGCACCATGGGGTGACTTCTCTTCCACCCCAATGCCTTCTCTTCTTCCTTCTCCTCCACCCCCATTCTAAATCCCATCATCATCATCATCATCCAGGAGCCTTCTACATACACACCTCAAAGTAAGTGAACTTTTCTACCATTTTTGTTGAATTTAGGAAATTTTCGGTGAGCTGGAACCAATTACCCAAAAACCCATTGAAACAATGGTTTCGGTTAACGAACGTTTCGGTTAACGAACGACCTTCTGGAACGGATTGAGTTCGTTAACCGAGGGGCCACTGTACTGTATAAGATAAAAAAAGAAAATCGCTTTAACAATATCCATCAATACCTATTGGTTGAAATATTTTTTTTATATCTACCAGGTATGCAAACTTTGGGTTGTATAATTATACTCAAATTAATCGCTGTCTTACAAGGATTCCATCAATGCAAATTATATTTTTCTACGTCAAGTCTGTGACTTTTTATAAGGAAACAATATTTAACCCAAGGTACCACGCGTCTCTCGCTGCACTCGTCAGTCTCAGTAATATCTCCCCGTGCGCCGCCACACAACCTACCTGCACACTAAGTCCTGCGTTTGGTCCTTTGTCAATCCCATCCCCCAATCACATAGCTCCATGATTACAGCATCATTGGTTGTATGTACAGTGTACAGGTAGTTCTGCTATAACGCGATAATTGTGTTCTTGTAAAATATCGTGTTATAGAAAATCGCGTAATAGAAATAACAGGGCTTATGGAGAAAATAGGGTTAGATGCAGATTACTCGAAATCGAAAAAATTTAGTAGTTAGCCTAACACAAAGGATAGCACAGTCTAAATAAATGTTACATTCATATCTAATAATGAAATCATACAGTAAATGTAACACTTTACTTGATGGGGGAGAAGGGTGATTTTGAGGTTGATAAAATCGAGCTTCTCTTCAAGTGTTATATCCTTTCTTTTACGATCATCACTGGGAATTCTATCACCAGAACGCTTCTTGTTGACATTCTTCTTTACTATATTCACAGTTAATATACCACAAAATTGGAGAAATAGTAAGCAAAAATCGCGTTATAGCAAACAAGCGTTCGCGTTATACAAATATCGTTCCTAATTCATAAATCGCGTTAGAGCAAATTCTCGTTATCAAAACACGCGTTATAGCAGAACTCACTGTACAGCTAGACCCCGAATTACGACGGGGTTAGGGACCCAAATCCAGGTCGTAAGTCCGACATAGATAAAAAAATAAATAAATAAAAAATTCAAATTTTTTTTCAAAAAAAAATAAAAAAAATCTACAATGAAATACAGTACTACACTAAACGTAATAAATAATGAGGAATGGATACAGTGTGACTGAGCACTTACCTTAAATGTAGTCAGCTGAATGCACACAGGGCCCCCATAATTTTCTATTTACAGGATACATGGAGACTATATTAATTGGAAGAAGCAGAAGAGGAGACAGGGCTGGGTGGGTCATCAATGTCGCTTTCTTCAGACAGGTTTATGTGCTGTGAAAACTTGCTGGTTGAAGGTATTGGTTCATCTTGAGGGAGTGAAGAGGCAGCACTGGTGGGGCGTGAGGAGACAGCACTAGGGGACTTCTTGAAATAGATGTCCAATTTAGACTACACAGTTTGCTTTTTCTTTTCATTATAAATTTCTCTGTAGCAAGCAAGTGCATCTTGGATCGTTCTGTCAACTTTGGCATAACGCTCATAATTTTGATCCATGCCATCAAACATCTGCATTGCTTTATTAATTGTAGCAAATGCCTCTGCCATTTGTTTCACTGAAAACTTTTTGGGGGACGCAGGTTATTCTTCTACATTTTGTCTCTCTTCTTCCTTTGCAATTTTCTGTACATCTATTCAATAAGATCCTCGTTACTGAGCTCTTCTGCTACACTTTCAACCAACTGTCCAACATCTTCAGTATCAATTTCTAACTCCAGCTGTTTACCTAACTCCACTATCTTGTTACTAATATCCGAAATAACTTCATTTTCATTAAATCCTTTGAAACTGTGCACATATCTTTTCAGGATTTTCTTCCATATTCCATTCATGCAATGTTTTGTAACCTGATCCCATGCTGCACT